CACTCCTTCAATTTCTATCTCACTACTGGGTATGTAGACTCGGTATTCCAATGAAAAAAGCTCGCACGCAACAATTTGGTTAGCCTGCTTCCGGTCATCAACGGTAACACACAGTTTTCTTGGTGTTACCTTGAAAATAACGGTAACGGCCGAAAATGTGTTGTTAGATCCTTAGAGATCCTTGTTTTTGTTTGGGCCGGAAAAAAACAACCCATGGGCCCAGGGTGCCTTCCATTCATTTTGACTAAAAAAATGTTTTATGAAATTATGGAATAATAAGATCATCATAATTTTGTATATGTAAGTAATAAAAAAAGATTGTAAAGTTTGTGTTTCACACATCAAACCTGCAAAGTTAGCTTTGACAGAGTCACAATGAACGTTTTTCTGATCTCCTCTTCGCGAGCGAAGAGTGGGTGAGATAAATTACAAAATCGCTTATTGCGACTCTCATGTAGCAAAATTGGCAGGTATTTTGTGTCAAACACAAACTTAACAATCTTTTCTTGTTATTCACATAATCAAAATATTTTCATAATATCTTATCATTCCATAATTTCTTAAAACATTTTTTTAGTCAAAATGAATGGAAGGCACCCTGCATGGGCCTTTCGAGGCTTCTGGGTAAGCAGAGGTTTTCGGGGGCAATGGTGTGAGGGGTGCAGGTGGACGAGGAGGAGATGGTGGGGGAGAGGGTTGTGGGCGATACCTTTTCTTGGGATATGCTCCAGTATTTTTGCTGGAGAGCGAGTCAACTGGAACGTCAAGGGTTTCCATTTCCACAACTTCCTCGAGACTTTCGTGTGAGGTGGAATTAAGAGTTTCGTCGTCTGAGATGGAAAGCGACCATCCCCCGCCTTTATCATTTTCATCCATTGCGGTTAAATATCGCCGCAATGGTGTTTTTGGTAAATATGATATTTATAAGATGTCAATGAGTGGATTTGAAAAAAAAAAATTAAAGGCTTGTGTCCTAGACGACCTACGACCGCAGTATGAAGTAGAACTACGTCAAATTGATGTATGTCATGCATGTTTGACTATTATTTCAATGTTACGGTTATGGTTCAAAACTCGCGACAATTCATGTAAGCATAATCATACCACAGTTCGTCTTACGCATGAGATAATGTATTTAAATTTAATGTAATGGTTAAGAATTGACAGAATTTTCCCTTCCTAACTACATTGGGTTAGGGGTATGAAGATCATACGGGGTTTAAGCACCTCTTTGTTCTCCAATTTGAATGACAACCCTAACATAAAATTATCATGCATCATCATTATGTACTTTACAGCCTTCATAGAATGATGCAAACTAGAATACTGTGACTTTTCTCAAATCAAACGTTTGGTTTCCAATTAGTAGGAGCTAAGTACTACGTTAATTGAAAATTAGGGGGATTCAGTTACTGAATTTCAAAGTCAGAGCAAAAGCTCGTATACAGGTTCTCCACCTGTTCATTGTTTTGATAGTAAGCATCATAGTTAAGGTACATCGGGGCAAGTTGAAACGGTCCGTGTATCTCAGTTAATATTCACTGTAATTATTTTTGAGAGGCATTGTGTACTACCGCAAACTGCTATATTAGAAATAATTTCAGTATTTATTCACTTCCGCTAAGCGATACATCTACCGTTTCAACTTCCACACGTGCGTGATGCCCGGTCTCGTGCACGGTTTATGCATTTATGTTAACATCTGACGTCGCTCCTTCTTTACATCTTCTGCGCAAAAGATACATCCGAAGTCTCTCCTTTTCTACATATTCTGCACAAAAAATACTTACTAAGCCCCGCCCCTGACAGGATTTCCCGCCGTTTTTTTTGTGAATGAGGCGGGGCAGAAAGTATCTTTTGTGCAGAATTTGTATAAAAGGATGGACTTTGGATGTGTATGGAGGTACCAGTTTGCATGAGGTTTGCATGAATTACTTTTCCACATTTCGTATTAGGGGTTGTTCATTAACTACTTAGACAGTCCAGCTTTCTGCAGGACCCAGTGCCACACCGTCCGAAGCGGTAATGAGCAGAGGCACGACAGCACACGCTCGCCTGATTTTACTCTAAAGTGAGTAACTTTGACTCAGTTTCGTATTTGTATGCTAAATGTCAAAAACTGAGTAACATTAATTTAACAAAGTGAGTAACATTTACTCTAATTAAATAAATATGGATCTTTACTGTTTTGAGTAAGATCAAATGTAATAAACGTCCGGAAATTTTGAAGTCCTGGGCTGAAAGCAAATTCCCCGAGAAATTCCCACAAAGTGTTCAAAGAGTGAAAGTTTCAGCGTCCTGTGAAACTTTTCTGGACTAGTGTGAGAAGCAGTTGGTGTGTTTCCGGAGATAAACTTTATTTCAGCCCAAATTTACACAGGTTACGATTTCTGAACTTCTGCAACAACTTTTGTTTGTGAACTTCAGAATCCCAAGCTCGATCCAAAGGAAAGTTCACTATGAGAGAATTGCAAGTAAGCTTTATGAGAAATATATTCAAAAAGAATTTAATTTTCAGAAAAAAAATGCTGAGAAACTGATCCGTAAGTTGTGCCAGAAAGCCGCTTAGTCCATTTTGAGATGATCAATGTGTTACATCCATGGTTACATCCCGGAATGGAAATAGCACCTGGAAATGATAACATGCTAGCTGCAGTGGCCCTCGGTAGAATCGCTTAATAAGCAGAATTATTATCAATTTGTTGATTAAAGTTTATAAAATTTGTTTTTTTTTTAAATAATTCTGTTGTGATAAAATAAATCGTTTTTATTATGCTGCAAAAAAGTTTCGATCAAATAACTTCCTGTCAAAATATAATATTTACAAAACTGAATAACCTTTACTCAGTTGTGCTAATTTTGCGAAAACCGAAACTGAGTAAGTGCTACTTAGATTTTGACAAATTCATACGATACTCAAAAGTGAGTAAACATGGGGTTACCCAATTTAGAGTAGTTCCACTTTTACCGAAAGTGAGTGGAATTTTACTCACTTTAGAGTAAATTTGAACAAGCGTGCAGCACTGTTTTATATATTTCCACACCCAACCGGTGGATGTAAGATTCGCTTACAATTATGTGGGATTCATCATCAGAGGATGTTAGTGGAGACAGCATTAACCGAGGATGCGATATACCTACCTAGCTGCGGTCCAATGCAAGAAAATTGGAGACCGAAAAATGTGAGGTAAATTAGTTATGTCGAAAAAAATTGGATACAGACTGCCGGGCTGGACTCAAACCACGAACGTTGTGATTATCAGACCTGTGCTTTCTCCACTGCTCTCTCCATGCTTCTGAATATGGATAGCCTAAAAGCAAATATGAAGCGCTCATTTTCTCGCATACTCAACTTCGTATGATTTTTCTGCTGGAGAGATTGGCAAGTGTGTGCGTCGTTCTACAAGCTTACTGGTATAGTCGAAAGCGTAGATAGATCACAAAATAAAAAAGACAAAAAAAAAACATTACATCGCCTGCACGGTCTTCCAGATCTTCTAGTGGACCATCCCGTGTCCTCAGTGTCCATATCCCGGACACAATCCCGAATCCATTCTGAAGAGGTATTTATGAATGGTTACATAAAAAAAAAACGATCATCACGAAGATAATTTAATGAAGTGGTCCGAATCTTCTAGAGTCTAAACCCAGCTTTAGACTAGGCAAGTCACTTGACCAACTCAGTTGAATTCAATTGGCTTGAAAAGTTGAGCCTGGTTCAACTTTTTTTCAATTCAAGTGTGTTGATCAAGTCACGTGCCTTACTCGTTCAATTCGCGTTCAAGTCAGTTGATTTCAACTGACTTCATCAATTAACTTGCCCTGTCTAAACCCAGCTTAACACAAATATTGTCAGAGCTGCAGCGAAAGTGGAAAGAGGAGCAACGATCTAGAAACACCGGTCTTGGGGCCTCACGGGGGCGGTGTTGGGCAGAGTCAATGTTATAATAAGAGTCCCGCCAAGAGTGAAGCCAGAAGTACCAACCGAACTGTCAAGTGGGGCACCAAACACGCAAAGTAAATAAACATTATTGTTCCCATAGCCAGTAAACTACTCGTATGGCATTCATTACTGACATTATTTTAGTAATTTTAGGTGAAAAACATTACTTCAGTTTATTTAGTACATTGCGGTATTTATAACTTATACCAAGCACTTGTTGGAACGTTTCACAGGTTCTATAATTTTTTTGTCTCCTATAAACTCCGTAATCGACATGAAATGTTTAACTTCTGAGTGAAAGTCATCCGATGCGTCCGATGATAACGCAAAAAATCTGGTTGCCGTTTACTCGGACGGAAAATAAATCACAAACAGTTCTGATTGTTCGCAGCATTTTTTTATGACGGAGCTCTTATTATATGGTGTTGGGGAGTCTGGGTGTTGCTTTGAAGAGTCATGGCGAATAAGAAATTTTGGTGGGTTACAACCCCAATTACGGGGCATCTGCAGTATTGTTGCTTTGACCTCGCGCACAAATAACGTAGCGCATGGAGGGGGGAGGGGGGTTTAATGGTAAATGTTACGTTACAGAATAAACAAAAAAACCGGGGGTTTGAGTGAGATAGCGATATCTAATTTTTGGGGGGAGTCTTGCCAAGCATTACTTATTGTGACATAGAGTACACACTTAGAAATACTTAATCTTACACGTGACCGAATCCATATTTGACATAAAGGATGAGACGTAAACAAACATGTAATGTAAAATTAAGTGCTCCGAAACTGAAAAGTTCAAAATTACGTTTGATTGAGCTGAATTTTGCGTCTATTGTGACTTAATTTTATGTCAAAACTGACGTATATGTCAGTCTAAGAGCACCTAAGTATACATTAATTTTTTTAAGTGTGTAGGTAATTTGTGTATAGCACCTTTTGAGCAATTGCTCTATGGCTTTTGAAAGTTTCCCCGTATCATCGGTAAAACAAATCTCATTCCACACTTGAGGTCCGGGAGGAATGTAAGCCTATTCAATGAATGAAACGTAAAACACAAATCATCTTTATTGTACTTTAATTGGAATTTTCTGCGATTTTTTCAGCTGCAATTTGTCCAACCCAATCGAGGCCAGTTGGACAATGTTTGCCGAGCAAAACTCGAGCAAATTACGCCGCGCCTGAATTTGCACGTACGTTTGTTCCGATTCGACACCCCTCAGAATGCGTTGTGCAACTTCATGTTCGGTCAAATTTAAGTTGAGTGTCAGTTTTGGCTGCTGCAGTTGTTTTTGTTGTTGATAGTTGCTGAAAACTGTGGTGAACCGAATGTTTTCTGGTCCCCTTATACTGTGATTGGGTAACGAAGCCGTCTGTGAACGGAAAATGCTTTGTACGAGATCATCATAGTCTGGTTGGCTGTCTATGGCTGCCTTGGCATTACTGGGGGTGTGTTTGATTGAAACAATCCTTCCTCTCTCTTGTTGTAGCATACAAGGGACGAAACACGTGAGAAGCTGAAAAAGAGTTCGAATTCATATTGTTTATTGTTAGGGTCCAATTCAATGAACAAACTTACGTTGACAAATCCTAAAATATCGTTTGAAGTTTGGCTGACGAAATGGGTGGTCTCCTGATCAGTACTATGCAAGCCAGTACCACTCTCTTGATGGATCACCAGTTCAATCGTTCCAAATTGTTTTTCTAATTTCTCTGCCAGGTCACAAACTTGCTTTCTGTTGGTGAGATTACAATCAAATAAGCTTATCGACTCATGCTGCCGACGAGTTGCATCCTTTTGTTCATCGTAAGAGGAAAGTAACGCCACTTGACATTTGTGCGTCTCGATCAGCTGTTCGCACAGGGCTTGCGATAGTGGTGAGGATCCATTGGTGATCTAGGAAAAGGAGTTATTTTTTTTATGTAAATCGAAATCTTGGGATTGATAAATACCAAAACGTTTCGTTTATATAGAACCGATTGGCTGGACATTCTCTTGAAGAATAATGAACCAATTATAAATGCTATTGCGATTCCTATTCCATAAAGTTCCGCTCAAAGCCTTGGAGATGCGATTCTTACGTCAAGGAGGGCATTTTTTTTGCAGATGAAGCTGATGGCATACCTTTCCTGTGAAATAGATGAAATAAATTGCTGTGAGTGATGAAGTACTGATGCTCATAAGGTTATTGTGTTGATGCTGTAAAATGTCATTATCCGGAAACTTTTAAAATCTGGTATTCAATACCTATCATGCTCAAAATACTACATACATGTTATCATGGCCTTATAGTGTCTTTTGGAATCAACGCACACATTTATGATGTTGCGAAATAGATGAAATAATTTATTTAAAATTAAATGTCCGGGTCTAACGAACCGTCTGGGTATTCGAGGCATTACGGTATTCTGAAGCTAAAGTGATTTCAAGTACCAACCGTGTACACTCAGAAAATATTCAAATCTATACTTACATAATACTTCAATAAACGAAACAATACGAACTTAGTATGAAAATGGTTTATACAGTGCAATGTTTAAAGTCGCGATAATGATAGGATGTATACAAGCTGTTTATTGGTGAGTATGCGTTTTTTTTAATTCTGAAAACTGATTTAACTGAATTTGAAAAAGTTAACAAAGTCTTCTCAAATACTGGAGATACATGGCCCACACAGATAACATACACGGTTAGAAAAAAGTACCCAAAATTAAGTTCTTTTCACTCATCTCGGCACTATAGTGCAGGAACCCAAAAGTAGGTAAAGCGGGTCAAAGTAAATTTCATTTACTTGTGTGCAATTCGTATGGAATTTTCCACTGGCTTTTTAACCAAAAGTAAGTTAGTTGTACCCAACAGTAGGTAAATATGATTAAACTCAACGTTGGGTTCCCACACTTTACTACCCCTGTTGAGTGGTTTTGTTCCTCCGTTTTTGACAACATTAGAAGGAGGAAAGGAGACAAACTAGTCAAAAGTAGGTAAAAGTGAACTTTCCGTTGGGTACTTTTTTCTTACCGTGTACATCTTATTGATTCTCGTAATCCACCTGGTTTCATTGTTGTCATCTTGTCTAATCCTTTTAATTTAAAGGGTGATACGGTCAAAATTTGGTCAAGGGAAAACGCGTGTAAATCGGTGAAATCGTTTATTTAAAAAATCAAATTAAATTTCTTTTTTCAAGTTCAATTAGTATAAAATTCAGGAAAAATATTCAGTTAGGCTTCCGCTTTTCCAAATCCGAATTGCCGAGCCTTACGCTTGACCCCTGCCATCAGATTTTGTACACCTTGTCCACCTTCTTCGCCGCAGAAAGCCAGTTTGCCTTGAACTGCTGCTCGCCCTTAGCAGTTTTTTTGGTCTTCTTTAGGTTCCGCTTGACAATAGCCCAGTATTTCTCAATTGGGCGGAGCTCTGGCGTGTTGGGAGGGTTCTTGTCCTTGGGAACCACCTGCACGTTGTTGGCGGCGTACCACTCCATGGCCTTTTTACCGTAATGGCAAGATGCCAAATCCGGCCAAAACAGTACGGAACAACCGTGTTTCTTCAGGAAAGGCAGCAGACGTTTATTCAAACACTCTTTCACGTAAATTTCTTGGTTGACAGTCCCGGAAGCTATGAAAATGCTGATTTTCAAGCCACAGGTACAGATGGCTTGCCAAACCAGATATTTCTTTGCGAACTTTGACAGTTTCATGTGCTTGAAAACATCTGCTACCTTTCCCCTTCCTTTTGCCGTATAAAACTCCTGTCCCGGAAGCTGCTTGTAGTCGGCTTTGACGTAGGTTTCGTCGTCCATTACCACGCAGTCAAACTTCGTCAGCATCGTGGTGTACAGCCTCCGGGATCGCGCTTTGGCCGTCGTATTTTGTTTATCATCGCGATTTGGAGTCACTACCTTCTTGTAAGTCGATAGTCCGGCTCGTTTTTTGGCTCGATGCACGGTTGTAGACGATGCACGGTTGTAGACGATACACCCAGCTTATTTGCGGCATCTCGGAGAGAGAGGTTAGGGTTTCGCTTGAAACTACCGGCAACTCTCTTTGTCGTCTCAGCGGCTTCCGGTTTTCGATTTCCCCCCGATCCAGACTTCCTGGCTGTCGACAAACGTTCCCCAAACACTTTAATTACATTTGTAACGGTTGATTTGGCAACTTTTAGCGATTTTGCCAACTTTGCGTGCGAGTAGCTCGGATTTTCGCGATGCGCGAGCAAAATTTTGATACGCTGCTCTTCTTGCTTGGACGGCATTTTGACAACTGAAGAGTGAATTCCAAAATCAAAATAGGAGCAACATTCTACACACACACACCTTCAAAATGAGGGGTGTTCAGGTTTTTTAAATGCAAAATTGAAAGAAATACGTCAAGTTGATATTGACCAAATTTTGACCGTATCACCCTTTAAATGCAAAAATTTGTTCGTTATTTGCCATCGGGAAGGCTTTCAGTTGTAGCTCCTCGAACACAATTAATTATATGATTTGAGTAGTAGCTATACTGAAGATCCGAGAGATGTCGCCCCTTCAGTGGTAGGAAAATCATTTTTGCAGTATGGAGAATATCAGAAAATCCACGATTTGTGACTAAACATGCTTTCACAGAAGGAAACAAATAAACGAGTGTTTACCTTATCACCATAATATTGTACTCGTGCAATTTTCGTGCATCTCAAACTGCTCATAAAGACGATAATGAATAAAAACTGAAAATTTTCATGCATTTCCAAATGGTTTCCTACCATTCCTATACATTCGAAAGTGACTGGCCCTCTGGATGTGAATGATGTCAAAAACAACAAAACATGATTAATTCAGCGGGGCTGATTATCATAGAAGTGCAGACTGTACTCGGAAATTGTGACATACAGAAATGGTCGCCAAAAATTAATTTCAAGTCAGATTTCCTTAAAACTTTCCGGAAATAAACTGAAACATTATAGTTACGTTTCTATTTCATTGCTTTATTGGATCTCCGCTCTATAACCGAATGCCCGCACCATGTCCTTGACACCAATCAAAGGGTTTTGAGCAATGGTGGGGCCGACTTCTTTTGATACTTCTACCCACTGTTTCTTCAAAACCAGCTCATTCTCCAGCAACTTAAGTATTTTACGAAGTCTGGCCCATCATGACGCCCAAATCTTCTCAATCGTACGAAGTTCTGGCGAGTTCGGTGGGTTGATGTCTTTTGGTACAAAAACAACACTGTTGTCTCTGTACCAGTCTAGCACCGGCCGCGCGTAGTGGCAGGATGCTAAATCCAGCCAAAACAGCGTCTCCCCTACATGAGACCGCAGAAAGGGTAAGAAGCGTGGCACTCGTCCCGGTTGATTTTCCCGTTGATGGTACCCGTCGTAATGTACGGCTGTCTCATCTTGCCACACCCACAGATGGCCTGCCAAACCAAGAACTTGTTGGCGAATTTGTCCACCTTTTTCTTTCCTACCTCCTCAGGAACGGCCGACCGTGATGTGGCTATGGAAATATGCCGTAGGTCGGACCGAAGAATGAAATGAACTTGTTTCATCGACGGTCAAGAATAGAATGAAAATTTTATTGAAATCAATTAAACACGCTCTTAGCAAGTAATTCATGGCTTCCTGTAGTCTTCAGTCGCTCCATTTTCAACACTCCTCCTCGACGGTTGTACTCCAACTGCCTCGTGGAATCTCTCCAATTTCATGTTGGCTAATGGTTTCGTCAACATATCCGCCACCATGCTATCGGTTGGGCAAGATTGCACCGAGATCTTGCCCTCCTCCTTCATCTGGCGGACGAAATGATATTTCGCGTCGATGTGCTTTGATCGGTTGTTGATTTTTCTTGATTCCAATTGCTTGATGCACGACTGGTTGTCTTCGTGCATTTGGATCGGTTTCGTCATGACAACGGAGAAATCTTGCAACAGCTGAACTTTTTGCAACACTCAGCGAGTGCCACGAACTCAGCTTCTGTGCTGCTCAAAGCAACACATGTCTGCTTCCGGGATGCCCAGTGGATTGGACCACCACCAAACATTACCAGAAATCCAGGATTCGACTTCCAGGTTTTCACATCGCCGGCCCAGTCAGCGTCGACGTAAACCTCCATGACAGCTCCTCCTGATCCAAATACAAGTTCGTGGTCGTTGGTGAACTTGAGGTATCGATGTATCCGTTACGCTTCCGTCCAATCCGCTTGTGATGGGCAGCTCACCGATCTTCCAAGAATCGAGTGTTTACCACACCAAACCACCAACCAAACTTGAGTACTGGTAATTGGTCGGCAGTCGCTCGTTCTCCTCCTTTTGTTGCAGGTGGCCAGGTTCCAAAGGAAACTTCGATGACTTTGCGTCAGTCAACCCAAAACGCTCCAACATCTTCTGGATGTAAGTCCGCTGGTTGAGAGAAAACTCCTTCTCGTTGCGTCGCACTTGGATGTCCAGGAAATGGTGAATGTCTCCCAACGATGTTGCCGTAAAGCTTCGGTTAAGGGCTGCGATGAACTCGTTGTACTCCTCTTCGGTGTGGCAAGCGATGACCATATCGTCCACGTAGATGATTAAATACGTGAATTGCTTGCCTCGACGTCGCACGTACAAACATGGATCATTTGCTGACTGTTCTTGTGACAGTTTCTTGTTCCAAACATGTTCCGCTTGTTTGAGGCCGTACAAGTTTTTCTGCAACAGACATACCGCATCCACACCACCAGCTTCGTAACCTGGCGATTGTCGCATGAAAAGCGTTTCGTCCAGATCGCCGTAGAAATAGGCGGTCTTGACGTCCGAATGTTTCACCAGCATGTTCCGTTCACTGGCAATCGTCAGCAGTGTCCTAAATGTTACCTGCCGCACCACTGGGGCGAACACTTCGTCAAAGTCCGTTCCATACTTCTGGGAAAAACCTTGCTTAACCAGACGCGCCTTGTACCGCACAATGTTGCCGTCCTCATCGAGTTTGCGCTTGAATATCCATTTACTGCCTACTGCTTTGTGGTCTGCGGGCAGTTTCGCTAGCTTCCAGGTACCATGTTTCTTCAACGATTTGATCTCTGCAGTATCGCTTTCGTATCCGTTGCCCTCATCGATGCCGTAGCATGTTGAGTCATAGGACGAGGTATCTGACTCACACTCCTCCTGAACCGACT